TCTTGACTTTTATTACTTAAAAAAGCTGCATATTTATTTTGCTTTCTGACTCTGTGCTTGTGCCTTCAACACTTTCACAACAATTTTCTGCTCCTCAATAAGGAAAGCCCGCTTGATCCTAGGAAGAAAAACAAACCAGTTATTTTTTTTAACACGGGAAAGGCACCATTACAAGATGCAGCAAGCAATCAAAAGCCTAGAAAAAATGCTCAGAAATCCACACAGCTTATGAAATTACATGAACATTTATGGAGGGCAATTCTCTATTCCCAACTAGCCTTGACAGCTTTGTGATCAGCTCTAAAATATAGGCTGTGCTGGCTAGTTTTGTCGACCTGAAACAAGCTAATCATACAGAAGAGGGACCCTCAATCAAGAAAATTCCCCCAGCTGGGCCTGTGGGTAGTGAATGGGTGCCTTAAGAAAGAAGGCTGAGAGCCAGAGAGCAAGCCAGCAAGCAATGTTCCTCCATGGCCTTTTGCTTCAGTTCCTCCTACCTGTGAGTGAAAATGAAATGACACCCAGCCCCACAAGCTGCCTTTAGTCATGGTTATCACTGCAATGGAAACCACACAATACTCCAGGGTGACAAGACTGGCACTTAAGATAGCTTCTGGCTAATATAGTTCCTGTATCAGGTTCCAGGACATGTTATATTATTGTCTGAGAATAGTTTAATCATTTATGGTTTTTCATAAAACCCAGCTAGCTGCTGGAAACTAGAACTCAGGGGTGAAGAAAGGAGCCCAAGACACCGTCTTAATTGACAGACCCAAATGTAGATTCCGTAGGTCATGAACCTAATACACCAAACATCTAACTCTCACAGCCTGAAACCCACAACCCTAAACTGCCTGTATCAGGTCAAACACCACACTCTGGAATCCTTTCTGTTTGCACCAGTAAGGTTTAGCCTCAAATGCCTACGCAGGGTCTTCAGCTCCATGAAATTTCTCTTCTAACCTTTATTATTTGAAGTTCAGTTTGTCTAACTCACAGAATATTTGTCCTGTATTTGTATTAATGTATTAGGCCTTACCCCTAACAACTTCCACACGTAGGAGAACAGATGGTTGTCAACAAAATTTGCTAAAAACTTGGTTAGAGCATTCTGTAAAACTACCCAGTCCAAACTCCACCTCTGAATGTTCTCATCAATTCCATTCTTTCTATGGACACTTTGGGCACTGCCCTTACTAACTGTCTGAATTTAAAGCAGGAAGTGCTTTCTTCACTAAAACCCACCAACCCAGAGAATTTATCCAGGTGCACTTGAATGTTATCCAGAATACCACTCTTATGACCACCCTTCTAATATACAAAATATTTAGCCCCCTCCCCACCAACTCCTCTTCAAGCCAGGGTTGCAAGGCAAGCACAACTTCCTCGTCCTGTGTAAAAAGCTTCTGTATTTTCCAAACCCTTATCTTGTTCCATGAATGACTTCACCACTTATTGTTTCTGGTTTACTAAATGACTCTCAGCTTTGCTTAAAATTCACCTCTCGCTAAAATGTTCTTAACCTGAGACCCTTCGTAACCTCTTCTACCTTTGTTGTCTGATACCTCCTAATTCAGCCACCCAAACCGACCCCATTCCTATACCTACAAGTGTCCCAGTGCTTACTAGCAAACACTAACTCAGTCTTTTTTTCTAAAAAAACCAAAGCCATTTTAAAGCTGGCCCCAAATTCTGACACAGCACGTATCTCCTACCAGCTGTCATGGGAAGACTCATGACGGCTGGCATACAGTGTATCAGAAACACCATGCCTTAGATAGCTCACTCACCTGTCGCGTACACACTTGGCACACATGGAACCACCGTAGGCCCTGCTGACGTGCTTCTTTGTCTTTGACAGTCTCATAAGGACTTTAGGCCTCACAGCGCGAACCTGTAGAATGAAGACTGCAGTTACCGGGTGGCACTTAGGTAGAAACAGACATTTCCTAACAACTGGCCGACTGCTTCACCTGGGAGGTGCCTGTCATTTCTCACAGTAGTTACTTTAAAAAACGGTTCATGTTCTTGGCAGGTGTGGACCCCAGATAGTTAACAATTCCCAATCATCTCAGTAGTAGTAAGCCTACCTTCACTCATTTCCCTACTTAGGGATTATGATTATCAAAGGGATACTCACCCCTCGAAGTCTGCCGGGGCACACACCACAGGCAGATTTAGGTGCTTTCCCAACCTTCTTGGTATACAGGTAAACAATCCTGTTGCCAGGGGTTCGAGACCTAGAGGAAGGGAGGTTGTAAGCGGCTCAGTATGTCATGAAGAAGGTAGTTATTTTATGGAGACAGTATTTTAATTTGTGAATACTTACAGCCTGGTTTTGTTAGAGGCTGTATTGTAGGAGAGCCTACGGCGGTATGTCAAGCGCTGGACCATTTTGAGTGCCTAAAATCAAAACAAACACCTTTCACTGTAAAGGTAAATCAAAGGTCAAAGCATCACCACGTATCTTACATTCATACAGTCATTCACACACAGCGCTCTTTCGAAGGCCCCGTTCTAAACAACTCCACATTTAAATTTTCTCTGCACTTAGACATGACTAATAATAGGCAACACTTTCCTATGGTAGTCAAAGAAGGGAGTTTGGTTAAAAGTATGGAGAGTTTGGGGTCCTTCCTCAAAGAGACTGTTTTTGTTTGGGGTTTAAACACTAGCCAGGAAAGCTGGAGAATCGCTGACTTAAAGGATGACAAGCGAGGACACTCGGGTAAATCCTCAGCAGTGCTACCTGCTGGCAATACAGAACCAGCTGCAGGCGTCTTTTGAGACACTGGGATTAAAATACGTAACTAGCTCAGCCTCCACAGTGCTGGCACATGGTATCTGCCTAGGATCTAGGTCTCGTCCCCAAGAGGCATGGCTGAGAAGGAACTCTCTTAATGGGAGCTGGGTTTCGTGCTGTTTAATAATCTAACTGCGTTCCTTAGCAAATCAGCTACACTGCGTTATCAGCGACCCTCCAATTCGCAGCGGCGATGCGTTTGGAACCCAGACCCAAAACAGGCTAGACAAGCGTCCTACCCGTAAGCATCACACACTCAACCCATGCATCTTCGTTTTAAAGTGGGCTACTTTAGAAGTCTCGACCCTGGGACAATTGGCCGAGCTGTCTATTTAACCCTACCCCAAGGAACAGAAGCACAGGGCAGGTGCAACCAAGCTGACCTGTCTTCCGCACCTCACCAACACTCGCCCCACCGCCAGGCACCGACACCGACGCACAAGACCAGTGTTAACGACCTGAGTCGCCACTATCTGATTTGTATCTTCATAACCAAGGCGGACCCCGCCGCCGCCCCTGGTATCCCGTCCCGCTCGCTGTTAGCCATCGGGACGGACATCAACGGGGAGGCAACCGGAGGCCGCGGTGCCCACTGTCGCGGTCGCCAAGCGTTTTATTACCAGGAACACAGCGGCTCGCTCCCCGCGTCCGGCGGCCGCGGCGCGGAGTTCCGGCTACTCACCGCCTCGGCAGCGCTGGAACGATCGAGGACTTTCCGCAGCTACGAGCCGAGGAGCCTCCCGCCACACACCTCTCCCCGCCCCGCACCCTCACGCCAGCCACGGCACCGTCCCCCGGGGCGTCCCGCCCGCCTAACTCCCCGGATGGCTGCGGATAGTAGACAGAACAAACACAGAGCAGAAACGAGCCGCCATACCTCTAAGCACCGTCCCCGGAAGAGGAAAAGGAAGAGGCAGGCGAGGTCAAGGGTCAAATCTGACTGCGCAGGAAAGGAAGTATGTCAGAGAAAGCGGCTATGAGGAGAGGGCGCCGCCATGTTGTACGGAAGAGGGTGCGCGGCGCTGTGTGGGCGGGGCCGCGTGGAGCCTCGGCTTTGCAGTGCGGCTTCCGTACGCGGGCCGGGTCTCTAGCCACGCGGACGGACGTCACGCGAAGAATTAAGTGGAGGATGGCTGTGGAAGAAAAAGCCAATGACAGAGGAGCCCTCCCCATGCCGAGAAAACAAGGACGCTACGACACCTTTAGCCTAAAGTGGTTAGACCTGGGTTTAAGTCCCTGTGACGTCCCGTAAGGTGACCTGGCTCCTTCTTGGTTTCAACCTTCCCTTCTATCATTATGGACTTCTAAACGAGCATTTTGCTCATTGCTAGCTCTCTCACTTTGGGCAAGTCCGTGAATCTCTAAAAAGGAAGATATTAAGTACTCTTGCAGTGCTATGATCAAAGGCACCCTGGAGTTAAAGCGCCTAGCCCAGAAGTCTTTCAAAGAGCAAGTGTGCTATAATTAGTGGCTAATTTATGGTTTGGGGCAAACAGCTATTTGAGGCTTTACTTGGGTGGTAAAGGTAGGTCTACGAAATGAGGATGAAGACTAGAGGGGGCCAGCGACCTCCAAATGTCTCTGAACGTTTACATTATGGGTCCTTAGTTTTCATCATATTGTCAAAGGTAATGAACACTCTTCTTGGGCTTTAAGGAAGAGCCCTACATCACTGCCACGTTTGTCAAGACACTAGGTAAACCGCTCTGATTATCTTTCCCTCAGCTCTCTCTCAAATACCCTGTCCCTCTGTAGCCTGTCGGCTCTGTTCTTGCCACTCCGAATCCCTTCAGTCTCTGTGGCAGGCATTGGGTAAGGGCTGGTGTAGAGAGACAAGCACAGTTTTTGAATAGATGAATGACTGATTACATTTCCTTAGAATCCCATCTCTTTTATTGTGGGAGATGGGAGCTCTCACTATAGAGTGTGCATTGGTACCTCTGTGTCCACGCTCCTCCATCCCGGTAGAAAAGCGCTCTTGCTGTTGTAATTGCGCCAGGTTGTAATTGACCCTATTACGCGAGTTTTCTTGTCTTCCAATCTGTATTTGTGTTTTTATTAACCAGTCTTGCTAGAAATATGGAAATCTTAGTAAAATTCTCGAAAAACCCTCATTTGTTTTTATGAATCTCCTTTATCAAGTTTTCTGTTCCATCTTTTCAGTAATTTCTTTGTGTATTATTTTATAGTTGTTATAAAACTAAAGATGAATCTAAAATATTTTTTGGTTTGGACTGGGGTTTAACATTTAAGGTTTAACATTTTTTAATGTAATCTTTATGGGTTTTGATAAAAGTTAGCTTTAATGGGATCAAATTCAACGCTCTGAATTTGTGCAGTTTGTGTGTTATTTAAAAAAAAACTTTTCTATAAACTCTTTAAGAGTTTATATCTTCATATATCTATATATTCCTGTACCTTCATCACCATCGCTTTATTTTTTTGGCTTTGACATCAGTTTAATTGATATATGGAAAGTTAGTTTCAACTAACAACCCACTCCATTTCACAAAAAATCAGAAATAATGAAGGACTGGTGTGGCGCTGCAAGTTTTTGTTTATACCTTCTTTTTAAGTTAATTTTTGTTGGCATTCGAATAATGGGTTCATTATGCTATTTCATACCCATGTCATTGTACCTTGCTGAGTTTTGTTCTAGCTACTCTGCTTTTCCCTCTCCCATCTCAGACTGGCCCCTTCTTATCCCCTTATGCTTTTGTCACACACACACACACACACACACCCCTAAATCTAGATCTGCATATGAGAAGAAACATGTAATATTTTCTTTTCCTTTTATAACCTATTTTCCCCCTTCCCTTAGTTTCTGTCTACTTTCTTGTCATATATTTCACATATAAGAGAAAACAATGTATTTCTCTTTCTGAGCCTGGCTTATGTTGCTTCATATAACCTCCAGTTCCATTTATTTCCCTGCAAGTACTATAATTTTATTCTTCCTTACAGCCTGAATTGTGGAGAGCTACTTGTTTGTCAAGCTGCTTTGTTATTTATTGAAAAACATGTTTTCACGTTGGCCTTCACCTTGAGACAGAGAAAAGAGGAAGTTTCGCCAAGTTCCTTAAACTTTTTCCAAGTTCCTTAAAACTTGTTTGTATTCCATATAATCCTCAATGTCGAGAAATTGTTGAGTGTGCCTGTGGATCTCTTAAGAACCAATTGCAAAAAATAAAAAAGGGCGAGTTATATCACCAAGCACCACAGAATTATCTTTATCATGCTCTCTTTATTTTAAAATTTTTTGAATGTGGATCTACAAGGCTGTTCTGCAGCTGATCAATTGTGGCACTCTAATATCACAGAGAGAATTATGCCCAAGTGAAATGGAAAGATCCAGTTACTGGAATATGGCAGAGCCCTGACCCTGGATTAATATGGGGAAGAGGGCATGTTTGTGTTTTTCCACAGGATGCTGAAGGAGCCCAGTGGATCCCAGAAAGGTTGATGTGATTTGCGGGAGATATTCCTGGAAGGAGGATGCTCATGCTGCTGACAATAATGAATTTTGTCCTGATGGTGAATGGAGAGCTGTGTTGGGCGTATGCTCCTGACCCACCTTTGTTTCATTCTGCTTCTGGGAGAAGATGTTATGCAGAGAAACCTTTTAGATACAGTGTGACTGGACTTGATTTGTCTGGTGGGGAAGAATGGGAAAGAGGACTGACTATGGGACTTGGGTCTGATTCTGGTTTTCAGCAGACCTATATTTGGAAGCTTGCTTCCAAAACTTTCTGGAGTCCCTGTAACTGCCTGTGTAATTCCCCCTTATGCTTTGTTGTTTGGAAATATTAACATTTTTTATGCAAGATACAAACTTTAATGTTTCTTGCTATCAGTGTAAACTAACTGTATTTCTAAGCTTTCAAATAGACAGCAGGTTCTGGCTGTTTGACAGCCTTCTTTTATTATGGTTCCTGTGAATGTTTCTCAGACCTGGTATTCTGATAAGGGATTATGAGTGCTAGAAGCAGACCTAAAAGAATGGTTGGATTAATTATTGCAGGTTTTATGGCCCTCATGGTCATCATTTTACGTCACTTTTATAGGACTTGGCTTATTACTCTTATTAGGAGCATGTCTCCTACCAGGCATATTAAAAACCTTCATCAAGGCCTTCTGGAATCTTAAAGCTGATCTGCATAAGATTAAACTCCAGTGTCTACCCTAGTGGAGGTTGGTAGTCAGAGATGGGTAAGCTCTCTCTCTCTCTGAGGAGTAGTCAACCTAAGAGAGGGCATGATTGGTGGAATTCGTGTACCAATGACAGGTAAGAATATATTTTTCAAGGGAGGCAACCTAAGACAGGCATAATCTTCTGCTCCACAGCTCTTAAGCTATGGACTTTTAAAGTATAAAAAAGGGAGACCTGTGGAGAGCTGCTTGTTTGTCAAGCTGCTTTGTTATGTATTGAAAAACATGTTTTCACCCTGGCTTTCACTTTGAGACAGAGAAAAGAGGAAGTTTCACCAAGTTTCTTAAAACTTGCCCCAAGTTCCTTAAAATTTGTTTGTATGACCTTGGACCATATCTGCTATAGGGAAGTAGTTTTTACTAGACAAGTTTGTCAGTTCCACGAACTTCTTTTTGTATTGATGTGACTTGTTTTTGCTTTGCCTATAAAAAAGGAATTGTGAAATAAACTCACGCTGCAGTCTTACTGACAGGCCAATCCCATGTGTAGTGTGACTTGCTTTAATTATTTCAATCCTCACTCCCCACTCAGGAACTGTTCGACTCTGCCGGCAGGCTCTGGCACTGAATAACACTTGTGTGTGTGTGTTTTCATCTGTTGAGAGGAATCTGGCCTGTTTTCATATTGTGGCGATTGTTCAGTGCTAAACATGTATATCACCTGTAACTTCAATAATGCCAGTAGAATCCAAGTATGGAGCCACATGCCTATAATCCCAGCACTTGTGGGTCTGAGGCAGGAGGAGCATGAATTTGAGGCCAGTCCAGTTCACAGATGCATTTAGAGTTCTCTCTTTCTGTATAGAGTGACTTAGGAATGTAATTTTTTCCACATGTATAACTTTCCAACTTCAATTACTGCATTTTAACTGCAGCCAATCTGATCATTAAACTTTGTCTTCAACTAAAGATAAATACATCTTCTGATTTGTGATCTGGCCTTCTATTCTGTTCCACTGGTCATGACATCTTTTCTTGAGTTCCACGTTTTACTTGTTTGTTTTGTTTGTCTGTGTAGGCCCGGCTGTTCTGGACTCAGTCTGTGACCAGGCTGACCTCAAACTCAGAGCTCTGCCTGCCTCTGCCTCCTGAATGCTGGGATTAAAGGTGTGTGCCACCACTGCCCAGCTCCTCACTTCCACATTTTATGAACTCTTTATAATTAATAAATCTTAACCATGGAGATTGTATATACGTACTATATTTTCTTCTACACAAGGAGAATTCTTGACTTTTTCTTTTCTAGACGCATTTTATAAATGGCTCGGATGAACTTTGAATTTGTATTAAATTCACAAGCCAATTAGAAAGAATGGGTGTTTATGATATGAATTTTCCAACGTGTGATAATATATGTTGTTCTCACGTATTCAAATCCTCTTTAATACTTTTGAATACATTTCTATGATTTTTATAGAGATTTTTCATAACTATTGTTAGGTCAGCTTCTAAGAATTTGACATTTTCTAACTTTATTGCAAATGGTACTCTTTACAGTCGGTGGTTCTCAACCTTCCTAATGCTGTGACCCTTTAATACAATTCCTCATGTTGTGGTGACCCCCAACCATAAAATTATTTTTGTTGCTACTTCATAATAATTTTGCTGCTGTTATGAATCAGTGTAGGTATCTGATATTTCCAATAGTC